TCCTCATGCTTGCCAATGTCAACCTCACTAACATACACCTCAAAGTCATCAGGTATAGCAGATCTCCGAGTTCTATAAGATCTTCTAAGCTGATCAGGCTTAGAAAGTGGATTAAAAGGTGAAGTAAGAGGCTGCATATGAAGAATAACTGAAGGGGTGGGATTAGGAGCTTTGAATGGAATCAGTGAAGTTGGAATTAAATCTGTTGTAAATGGAATAGACACAGAAGATTGCTCCTCTGTAAAAGAGAAAGTACGATGATCCAAACTCCCATTAGATTCGTCATTCTCAATAAATTTTGCATGACTGGTCTCAACAATCTCCATAGGTCTAGAGGGACAATAAAATCTGTAAACAAATGATCTCTCAGGATACCTAATGAAATGACAAGTAACAGTGCAAGGATCAAGCTTCTTAATATCAGGATTGTACAACTTTGCCTCTACAAGGCATCCCCACACATGCAAATGTCGAAGACTAGGTTTACGACCTGTCAAAAGCTTGTAAGGTATTTTAGGAGCTACTTTGCATGGCACCCTATTAAGAATATAAACTGCTGTTTTAAGAGCTTCTCCCCAAAAATTCTCAGGTAGTGAAGAATGACTTATCATACTGTGAACAACATCTTGATATGTGCGGTTTCTCCTCTCTGTAACTCCATTTTGTTCAGGAGAACCAGGTGTGATATACTGTGGCACTATACCTTGCTCCTTGAAGTACGAGACGAAAGGACCATGACTCACACCCTCCTGGTCCATTCTCCCATAATACTCACCACCTTGGTCCGATCTTATAATTTTAATCTTTTTGCCTAACTGTTTTTCAACTTCAGTCTGATAGATCTTAAACATGTTAAGTGCATCGGACTTTTGGTGTATTAGGTACAAATAAGCATACCTTGATAAATCATCTATAAAGGTAATAAAATACCTTTGTCCTCCTCGAGAAGCGGTAGGAAACGGACCACAAATATCTATGTGAATAAGGCCTAAAAGACTATATGACCGACTAGCCTCAAAATTACGTTTCTTCTGCATCTTCCCCCTGACACAGTCAACACATAAATCAAAATCTAAAAAATTTAGTGGTCATATAATCTCATCCTTGACCAAGCGTTCAAGTCTCTTTCGAGAGACATGCCCCAATCTCCTATGCCACAACATAGATGAATCCTCTCTAATAAAAGTATGTTTTGATCTGGAAGGTATCGAATCCACAAAAAAATAGGACACAGGTATATGAGAATCATCCAACAATAACTGATATAAACCATCAATTAAACAACCATGTCCAACTATAGTATTACCATAATGAATAGTAACCGATCCATCACCAAAAGAAAACCGAAAACCCAAAGCATTAAGTCTTGAAACTGAAAGTAAATTACGCCTAATAGTAGGAACATAAAAAACATCCTGAAGTTCTAAGGAAAAACTAGTGTGTAACACTAGCGAAATCGTCCTAACAGCTGTAACATGAACCGCATCAGCATTACCCAACACCAATTTCTCCTTAGCCCTGGGTTTGCTCTAGCTTTGAAGTCCATGTGATGAACAAGAGATATGAACAGATGCACCCGTATCAATCCACCATGTATGATTAGGCACATTTACTAAGTTGGATTCAAATATTACCATAGCAATTCCTATACCTGCTTTGTTTTTCTTTAACCAATTTTTGTAGCTATAACAGTCTTTCCTTTGATGTCCTTTCTTCTTACAGAGCCAACATTCATCAATCGCATTTGCATGCTCAATGCCTTTTCCTTTATTATCATACTTTCCATTTTTCTGAATTGTCTGATTCCTTTTCTTGCCGCCTTTCAACTTGAAGTTATACCTACTTTTACTGCTTTTGGTAAGATGAGCTGACTCAAATTTAGCACCTTTGAGCTGTTCTTCCTCGGTCACACAAAGTGCCAATAGCTAATTAATGTCCCATTTTGTCTCTTGTGAATTATAATTTACCCTGAAAGCATCGAAAGATCTAGGCAGAAAATAGATCACCATGTGGACCAATAATTTATCATCATATGTGATTCCCTGCTCCCTGAGACCATTAACCAGCTTGCATAACTTATAGATATGCTCCCTCACTGAACCACTGCCATCATAACTAGTTAACATAAGTTATGTCAAATAATAATATTGAAGTTGCTTCTTGGTACCCATGAACTGCTTCTTAAGTAAATCAAGAAGCGTCTTGGCAGTATCAAATATAAGAATACCACCACGAATAGTCTCACCAATAAAAGCACGGATCAACCTAATGGCCATGGTATTAGCTTTAGTCCACTTAGCATGCAATAACTTTACTGCTTTAGAAGATTCTTCAGTGATTGCAGCGGGTTTCTCCTCATAAAGTACAAACTCATAGTACAAGAAACCCAACATAATATCAACACTTGTCCTCCAAGTAGTATAGTTCGAACCATTCAATGGTTCAATCCCTGTGAGCTATCTTTGAATAGCAGAAGCGTCCATAACTGTAACACATGTTATATCAAATAACATATAAAATGAACATATAAAATAATATGTTACAGCTTTAGGGATTATAACTTTAATTCGTGCTTGAGGTTTTAAGCTGAATTTATCAGGGTGTTTTACTATATGCAAAACTGTCCACCCTGCGGGAACATTTAAAAAATGCCATCTAAAAAGCACCTTTTGGGAAAATTGTAGATTTTATTTTATCCCAAACTTGCGATCAAATCACACATAGACCTATTTGATTATACTCGAATTGTTACTAAACAGTTTCACTACCTTTTGGCAAGAGAGTTATTTAGTTATAATCCAAGCACTCTCAAATATTCTACTCACTTATCACACACTAAGACATTGATCACTTTTTGGTTGAACAAATACCCTCATGTAGGTAAGTTCTATGAGACCTTAATCAAACCAATGCTTTAAAATTTCAAAAAATAATAACCTCTATCAGCGTGTCACTTTTAGCAGGCATCACTCACTTTGATTATTAATTTTTGAAACGGTCACTTTACCGGTCCTCATAAACCACAATGAAAGATCTTATCTTTAGAAATTCCATTAAAATTATATTTATAGCACACTCATGAGGTCATGCAATTTCATCATCATTATATGGGAATTCTATTAATAAGTCAGTGAGCAATTTAATAAATAATATATGAAATTAATACCTCACATATATAGAATAATTTAAAGAAATAATTAAATATTGAAAACATATATATGTAATACACAGTATGTTTTTCTACAATTAAACTTATTGACTTTTGTTTTGTTTCCTTGTTCGGTGTGCATAACTTATAAAGGAAACAAATTACTTAATTGCATAACAAATTCATTGTTTAAAAACCCTCGTTTGGCGTGCACAAGAAATTTCATACAAACTGATTGCATAAAATAAACTCCAAGAATCTGTATACAAACTGATTAATTGCAAAACAAAGTCATGCAATAAACAAAATCTAGTTTGGCGTGATGCACATAACAACAAGAAACTAATTGATATATACTGTATATGGCAGATTGTTTGTTTCAACTTCATTCAGCGTGTACCACTTAATAACATCATACAAAGAATCCAATTGACAAATTTATATACATGAATCAGTTGATTGCTTAAATTATTTCAACACCTCGTTCCACGTGCACTCACAATAACAACATAGAAACTCCAACTGATATATGTATATACATCTATCCACGCATCAATTTATTGCTTATAGAACAATTATTATATTATGTAATTAATTTATACACAAATATCCGGAAAACAAAGAGAGAATCTGATACCAATAGTACAAAACACATGTACACAATTTGCAATCAAATATAAATTTATTTATTTATTTATCCTGCCCTTAAATTAAATAATATATAATGTTTTTTCAATTCACAATTTTGATTTCTACAAACCTTAACCTTGTCCTGATACCAATTGTTGGGTTTAATTAACAAACAACAAGTAGAAATCAAAATTGATCATCAATTAAAGAAAGGGTTTGATCTCATACCTGATTAAAAAATTAAACTTGAGATACCTTTTGAGAATTCTTTATCGCCTTTTGAGAGATCTGAAAAATAGAGCAATTTACCCTCTTCTGAAAGTATGTTGTTAATACGATAGGACTGAATAAGGATTTTAAAATTCCTATATATAACAACAATAGGAAGGGACGACTTCTCTACAAACAAGCATACTTAAGTTTCCCTTCTTATCATGAAAACTTAGATATCAATGGTTAGAAATAAATCACACCAAATAAGTTGTAAAACTACGATCTAACGGTATAAAACCATACTCTCAATTAGACCACCAAATTAAAAAATACAAACCCAATCGATCAAGTATCAATAATCCCAAATGTGATTATGATTAAAGAATTTGTATCTCTACGTAGAGCATGTGAGTAATAAAACTTGCTCAAATCTCATAAAAAATTAAGACAAAAAATGTATATCTGGGACAATCTTCTTCCTTGCAGTTACCGAGTTTCTTGTTCATTTCCTACGTTTTTTTCTTAGTTATCATATAGGCAAAAATCAATTTCAGTATTAGATACTATTACTTTATTCTCTCTATTTGCTTGATTAGTACATAAAATTAAAAACATTGTCCAATACCAAACATTCAAGAATTCCAAAAAAAACCACCAAAAGTCAATGATTTCATCCTAACAAGAGTTTTTAAATGATAATGGTTCACGGAAAGCAAAGTATACCTACCAGTTTCATTTAATAATAAAGGGTTATGAAAACTAAAATCCACCAGATTGAAAAGTGATGCCAAGTTTATGGAAATAAGCTGGCATTGGCATTATGGAATCCACCAGATTCAACTACCCATGATTTAGGCTCCTTGATATATTATTTGCTCTGTTTTAAAGCTGAAAGAAAGGCAGTCCCACACAGAATACACACACACCCAGAAGGTCAACTGAGCCTAATTTGTAAATTAAGCTTAGGCATTCCCTCCACCCAAAGGTTACCGAGAAAGGTGAAGAGAGAATGGCAGAGAGTGCAGTTGCCTTGCTGCTAAATCACCTGACAATCTTTCTTCAAGAAGAGTCAAAACTCTTGGGAGGAATTAAGGAAGAAGCTGAGTGCATCAGAGATGAACTGGAGCGCATGAGGGCGTTCCTGAGAGTAGCTGATGTAATGGAAGAGAGTGACCCTGAACTCCAAGTATGGGTTAATCAAGTGCGTGACGTTGCCTACGACACTGAAGATGTTCTTGATGAATTCGTGCTCCGCCTCTCTCGTCATCGTGAGGATGGATTCTATGGTTTTCTTCGTAAGATTTCTTTCTCAATTAAGAACTTGAAAGCACGCCATCGAATTGATTCTGAGATAAAAAGAATAAGGTCTAGAGTGAATCAAATTGCCAAGGGACATCAAAGATACCGTTACAAATTTAATATCTCAGAGCAAGTCTCAAGCTCCAACAGGGTCAACGACAACACATGGTATGATCGTCGAAGTGATGCACTTCTAATGGAAGAAGCTGAGCTTGTAGGCATTGAAAGGCCTAAGAAGCAGCTGATTGAGTCGCTTGTGGAGGAAAATCCAAGACTCAAAGTTGTTTCCGTTGTGGGAATGGGGGGTTTGGGGAAAACCACTCTGATAAAGAAAGTTTATGATGATAGAGAGGTAAAGGGACACTTTGAAATCCATGCTTGGATCACTGTTTCACAGTCCTTTGAGCTCAGAGAACTTCTCAAAGACTTAATTCAACAACTCTTTGGTGAAACCAAGCAATCAGTACCGCAAATGTTGGAAACAATGGACATCAATAACCTGAAAGCACAAATCAAAGATTTCCTCCAAGCAAGCAGGTATTTGCTTATCTTAGATGATGTATGGAGTATAAATGCTTGGGATGCTTTAAAATATGCATTGCCTGACAACAATTGTGGCAGCCGAATACTGCTCACAACGCGCATTAGTACCAAAGCTTCTACATCTTGCGTAGAATCCTATGGTAACATCTACACCATGAAACCTTTATCCCCAGAAGAGTCTTGGACTCTGTTCTGTAGGAAGACATTTCAAGGCAACTGCTGCCCTCTACATTTAGATAAATTCGCGAGAAGTATCTTAAAAAAGTGTGAGGGCTTGCCACTTGCCGTTGTGGCAATTAGTGGCGTTTTGGCTACAAAAGACAAAATTAGAGTCCATGAATGGGAATTGGTTCTCCGTAGCCTAGGTTCTCAATTAGTAGGGAATGACAAACTTGAGAGTATGGAAAAAATACTCTCTCTCAGTTACAATGATTTACCTTGTTATCTAAAAATTTGTTTCTTGTACTTGGGTATATTCCCTGAGGATTATAAGATTGAGTGCATGAGGCTGATTCGATTGTGGACTGCAGAAGGTTTTGTGAAATTGAGAGAAGGAATGACGGTGGAAGAAGTTGCTGAAGGCTACCTTGATGAGCTTCTTAATAGAAGCTTGGTCCAAGTGGCAGAGGTCTACCATGATGGAAGGCTTAGAAGGTGCCGCGTCCATGACCTTTTTCGTGAAATTATTACTTCAAAGTCGAGAGAACAAAGGATTGCGGTAACAGTTGGGGGAGGAAGCACAAGGTGGCTGGAAAAAGTTCGCCGTTTATCTATGCACTATACCTTGGGGAACTTGCAGCAAATCAATTGTTATTCTCAACTTCGTTCATTGCTTTTGTTCCGGGTGTCAGAACCTCTGTCCAAATCATCGATGCCTATGTTATTCAATGGTGGTGTGAGGTTGTTGAAGGTTTTGGAACTTAGAGGTGCTTCTATAGAGACACTTCCAAATGAAGTTGTCAAACTCTATCATCTTAGGTATTTAAGCTTGAGGGGAACAAAGGTTAAAATGCTTCCCAATTCCATCGGGAAACTTGAAAACCTTGAAACATTAGATCTCAAAGACACCTATGTAAATGAGTTGCCTGTTCAAATCCTAAAGCTCCAACAACTTCATCATCTCTTGGTGTATCGTTACAGTGTTGAAGATTTTCTACCCTTCTACCATTCTTATGGTTTTAAAGCAATAGTGGGAATAGAAGGTTTGTCTTCCCTACAAAAACTTTCTCATATCGAAGTGAACGATGACAATGGCAGAATTGTAGTGGGAGAGCTAGGGAGACTGACCCAATTAAGGAGATTAGGATTTAGAAAGTTGAGAAGGGAATATGGGATGGCTTTGTGTTCTTCCCTTCAAAAGCTAAGCAACCTTCAATCATTGTCTATAGGCTCAGTAGAAGAGGATGAGATTGTTGATATTCAAACTTTATTTTCACCTCCCCGGTTTCTTCAACGACTCTATTTGAAGGGGTGTTTAGAAAAGTTGCCGCACTGGATAACTTCCCTTAACAACCTGGTGAGATTACGGCTTTCGTCTAGCAAGTTAAGGGATGATCCATTGCAATGCCTTCAAGATCTGACCAATCTAGTGGAAATTGAACTTATTCGGGCTTATGAAGGGGAAGAATTGTGTATCACCGCGACCGGGTTTCAGAAGCTTAAGAGATTACAACTTGCAAAATTAGAAGGATTGAGGTGGGTGAGAGTGGAGAAGGGATCAATGCCTCATCTCGAAGAGCTAATTTGTGAGGACTGTAAGTTGGTGGAAGAGGTACCTACAGGCATTGAACACCTAGCCAATCTTAAATCTTTTAATCTCTATGGTATGTCTGATAAATTGATTATGACACTGAATCGAGAAGCGGAAAGTGGGGATTATTGGAAAATAGCACACATTCCCAACGTTTGGATTGGAACTTTCCTACATGATTGTTGGAAAGGTTATTCTCTATAGAGAGAGAGAGAAAGGTTACCATCACCTTATTTTTATTTGTTTTTTCTCTTGATTTTGTAGACCAACCAATTTGTATTTGTATTTTTTTTTTTTACCCTATTAGGTAATTAATTTGCTGTATATCATATTATATTCGTCAGAAGAAAAAAAAAAATTGCAAGCTTCCCCTTGACATGAGCTATAAATGTTGTCCAAGTTCTCGATCTCCTTAATATTTTCCGGGAGGATGCGTATCTCCTCAATTTAGTTCCAACAAATACACTTCCAGTTCCAGTGATAAACATGCACATAGTTTATTTCACTAGTGACCTTGATAAATGAAATAAAGATACAATGCCAAAGGTTTGGTGAATCTTAGAGAAATCACAGATATTGATAACACGTGTGGTTTCACAATGTCTATTTACATTGCGACTTAAAATATGAATGGTGTGGCAGCTGCTATATAAGACTCACCTTTTAATCTCCAGTCTCATACTCTGTAAATAAACTCAAATCTATAAAATAGATAGTCAATTTATCCGATCTAGGTAAAAGCATAATTCAAATTAGACTTACTGAATCTCTTGTTGTGAATCTAAAATGTAAGGCCACGAGAGATTCAACAAGCATACTTTTTTGTGGTATATATTGATATTGCGTTAAAATATGTAACAAATATGTTGAACAATGATTTAGTGTATAAAAGTGTCACAACATGGTGTTGGATTTGTGGCTCAAAATTACATGAATTAGTTTTCTTTACCGTTTTAAAAAACTTAAATTTGGAAAAGAAATTGTGCCTTATTATATATCTATTTTAGAGTTGAGATTGATTTGGTAACTCGTTGTATGCAAGAGGAATAATTCTTGTCCAACGACAAATTGAGTTATGAAGACTATAAATAAAGATGGGTTTGGGTACATAAATAGAGAGAAAAAGTGAGTTGAGTTTGTGAGAAGAGAAAAGCGTGTAATCAAAATTTGAAGTAAGAATAGTCGTTCTTCATCCATAAGTGAAATTGCATCAACATGGGTGTGCTGTGGACAGTTGCGGAGTACTCAGCAGTTCCATTTATTTCCACTAAAAAAAGTTGGTGAAATGAAATTAGTCCAGGGTAAAACAATTGTCCAAAAAATTCAAAGCAGATTAATGCAACTCATTCAAGATTGTCCTAAGCAATGTTAACATATAGAGTACCCACTTTTTGGTTTTGAGATTCAGTGATTCAATCTACCTACATAATTACTGCATACCAATCCATATAAAAATATTTAACAAAAAAGAAAAAGAAAAAGAAAAAGAAAAAAAATACAATAAAAGATAATTAATTTCAATTATCTTGGTCTCTTTATCATGGTATCCAAAAATCAAGTTTATGTCATCTAAACGACGGCAAGTAAAGGATGAATGACAATATTCACTAGTTGTTCTTTACTGAAATTTGTTTGCTTCCCAGTTTTTATTATTTTCCTCTCACCTTGTCTTTTATTCCATAGAAAGAATACCACCAATGACCAAATATTCCTTGAAAATAATATATAGTTCCACTATTTAGATCAATAGAAAAAGTTCACATGACCTGAAATATTGTTTTAATCTAAACCTATTTTCCTTTTTTACTTAACCTATTCTATAAATATAACTCTCTTTTCAAATTAATTGCTTGATTAGAAAATAATTCCATAATTTTAGCATTTTTAAATACCAAAATATACCACCTCCAAGAGCCCCACAAAAAAAACCACCAAAAGTATTCAAAATAACTCATTCTGTTGGCAGCCTAACAAGTGTGTTTAAATAATGACAACTAAATTTTTCTACCAATTCAATCAAATAATAGAGGGAACCAGAGCTAAAATCCACCAGATTCGAAGATTATTTTGCTTTCGTTGAAAAGTAGTAATTGTCAAATTCATTGGCAATTAGTATTTTCGATGGGTGTTATTGTAATGTTAAGTTAAGATGAAAAATAGTTCAACAAAACAGTTGTCTTTGTCATTGTGTATTATTGTCAAGGGAAAAGAAAAGCCAGCTTCAAAAAGTGATACCTAGATCCTCTATGGTAACCAATCCCCTTTTCACGGTGCTGTAAATTATTTTAACACACTTCAATCTATTTTTAACACAATTGTTTTACATTTCGAACAACTTTATTTTAAATTTCAACAGATGTGTTGAAATATTGTATTTCAAATGTGTTGAAATATTGTGTTGAAATACGTTTTAGCTTTCTTACTATCTCTTTTTAACATCATTATTTATAGTTTTTAGTACACTTAAATCCTATTTTAACACATTTACTCTATATATTGAGATTGTGTTAAAATATAAAACAAATATGTTGAAACATGATTTAGATGTCTAAAAAGACATCACAATACGCAACAGTAAAGGACTACCACAGCAGAGGATACGAACTCGAGAAAGTGAGGCTGCATTAACATGGGTGTACTCTCGACGGTCGCTAAGTACTCAGCGTTCCAAAAGCATCTATTTCCACTCACACAAGTTGGTCCAGATCCATTTATTTCCACCAAGACAAGTTGATGAAATGAAATTAGTCTAAAGCAATTTATCCAAACAATTCAAGGCAGATTAATGCAGCTCGTTCAAGATTGTCCAAAGCATTGTTAACTTATAGAGGACCCAATTTTTGCTTTTGAGAGTCACTGATTCAATCTACCTGCATAATTAATGCACACCTATAAAAATATTAACATTAGTTTTGTGTAACATTTACAATAAAAAGATAACCGCATGGGGTGATCGATCCGGTAAAAAAATATTTAGTGGACCAATAGTAAATTCCCCTCTTAGAACAAAAACTGAAAAATAAATTTTAAAAATACAATAAAAGATAGGATAAATTGCAGTGTCACCTTCCAAATTTGTTTAAAAGTCAGATAAATACCACTTAGGCAATTTTTTAATAATGACACCCCCAGGTTTGCAAACTTAAATAATACACTCCAAACATGATGAAAGTACATGTTTACCCTTTGACCAAGTAAAATGACCAAAGTCGCCTCAACCAACATACACAACCACCACTCACCAATCACCACCACCATAACCTCAATGACCACCACTCACCACCATTGCAATCTCCACAACCACCATCTTCTTCGTTGTTCCACCTATCACACAGACCTAACAATTCAAAACTGTACACACAAATTTTGTAAGTCTGCAAATAGAAACAAAATATGGAGCAAATAGTAATTTATTAATTTGTAAAGATTTGAGTACAATCCTCTGTAATAATATTCTTTACAAAAAGAATGACCCTCTGGTTCGATCTCTTTTTTGTTGTTGGTTGGATCCAAGGGCTGCATGAGCTTATTCTTGAATCATCGGGGAATTTGATGAAGAACGGCATGTCGTTGGATGTGCTTGTTGTTGATCACTGTGGAATTTGATGAAGAACGGCACATCGTTGGATGTGCTTGATGTTCTTCGCTTTTGGGTTTGGATTCTGAATTTGTGTTTCTGACTTCTGAGTCTCTGGATTTCTAGACTTCTGAATTTGTGTCCTTTGTTTTTGGACTTTTGAATTCTGAATTTGTGCCTGAATTTCTGAACTTCTAAATTCTGAATTTGTGTCCTTTGTTGAATTTAAGGAAGAACGACATATCTTTGGATGTGCTTGTTGTTCTTCGTCTTCAGAGAGGAGAGAATTTGGTGAATTTGGTGAAGAACGGCACGACTTTGGATGTGCTTAGTATTCTTCGCCTTCAGGTTTGCCCTCGGGATTTCTGGCCTTCTAGATTTCTGATTCTCTCAATTTTTGGACCTTCTGGATTTCTGAGTCTTTGGATTTCTGAGTCTCTGGATTTTTTGTTCCCTTTCTTCTTTCTTCAGGCTTCTATTTATAGGCTTCTTGGATTAATAAGATGATGACATGTATCATCTCCTGATAAGGATAAAATCATAACTGGGCTGGGCTGGTTATATTATGATAATTATCCTTAAAAATAATTATTCTAAATATATTTTATTAGGAATAATTATCTTTTTATTTAACCATCTGGGCTGGGCTAATTAAACAATTTAAGTGAAGCAAGCCTGGGCCAATTAAATGACTTAATTAAATATTAGGCCCATATTTAATGGGTCCATTCGTTACAATCAAAGCCCACTAAATTTTAATGTCTACAAAAACTACACATATATATATTTATATATACATATATACATACAAAAACATAGGGCAAAGGCAGTCATTGAACCAGGTTGAGTCCAACTCAGACCTCTGCCACCACCGAGTCCAACTCAGACGAGTTAGCCATTGAACCTGGCTGTATCAACGCCACCGCAGCCACCAATACTGCCCACCCCTTCTTTCTCTCTCTCTCCACCCACCACTGCAACCTCTGCCACCACAACCAAAACCCATCAATTCAACCTATGAAAAACCTACAAAAAATCCAACGATTTGAACCTAAGCTATCTGTCGTCCCCGCCATCCCCATCTCTCCACCATCCAATGCTCTCTGCCATCGATCCTTTTGAGCACTGCCGTGAGTCATTCACGGCCGAGTCAGCCCATCTCTCCACCATCCGAAGCTCTTTACCACGCCAACTGCCGATTCAATCCCACCAAGCTCACCGCCGCATTTTTTCCTCACGGCCAAGCCCATCTTCATCCTTGCCGAGCCGAGCATAGCCATGCACCCTTGGGTTCGTCACCACCTTGTCTGCCGGTGTAGCGCTGCAAGCCCACTGCCTTTTAATCCCACCGAGTCTCCCTTTTGCTCGTTGGCCGGCGTGCAATCTAGCCGAAGCTTACTCACCATCGCCGCCACCACCCGGCCACCCACAGACGACGCCACTAAGAGGATGAGAGCTGAGATGAGAGCTTAAGAGATAAGATGAGATACAAGATTGAGAGGGTTGAAAGACTCAAGAGGATTAAAGAGAGATGATAAGGAAAGCTATGTTTGGCTTTGTGTGACTAAGACTCAAAGAGGGATTGAAAGAGATGCAAGAGAGAGAGATGAGATGAGAGGGTAATTTG